TAAATTTACTGGTGTCACCAATAGCTGTTCCAAGGATGTCTGGTTTAACACCATTTACAGAGTGCATCTTACCTCACAGGGGTGGCAGGGAGGAGTTTCTGCACGTGGTGGGCTTTAAGCATTTTATGTGCTGAATGCTGCTGCTACACTCCGTGTCCTCTGTTCTCTGTCCTATAATGGACACAAACCAATTCCCACAAACTGAGTGCCTGCATCATTTCTCACTCAAATGAAGATGAAAGGAAACAGAACATTTGTAGCTTTGTAGGTTTCTCTTCCCAGAGCCCAAAATTGACTAGATGAAAAGGTTACACCTGAATGACAAACTACTTTGTTACACAGATGAATGTGAGAAGGAGAGCAACACACGGAAAAGACCAGCAAACTGCTACCATATGATTTCAGCAAAATAGGCTGGACACTGCTGTAGAAAGGCAAAATCCTCAAAGAATGTAAAACACAAATATTAAGATCAAGAGAGGTCAGCTGGCAGGGCAGAAAGGGAAACCCATGGAAAGCAGGCAGAGAGATTAAACTTAAGTCCCACACAACTCTGATTTCACATTGAAAACCACAAACCATTCCCGGAAAGGAAGAAGCTTTTATGCTCCCTCTTAGCCTTGATGTGAGCAACCTTCTTAAATGCTTCTGCATTTTATGAGGACAGACCGAGTTCCCAGAGTTTTCCGTTAACTCCTCCCTCAGGACTTTGGGGGCTGTTTCTTCTTTCAACTCATGATCATCCTCTACCATAGTCAGCTTTTGCTGGTCAGTATCAAGGGGAATAAGTCCATGAGGCAGAGAAGATAAATAGTGGATATATAAAACACTGGATAGCCCAGACACAGCAAGAAAGCAGTCTGGAATTTAGATACAGACTATGGAACACCAAGACGAGAAAACTTAGATGAACTAAAGACTGTTCGGTGACCAAATAGAAAAAAAAGAAGGAAAGAAACAGGCTGGAAATAGCCATTAGTTCAAAACACATGTAATTAGCAGAGGCTGAAGTAATTAGCAGTTGCTGAGGTCATTAGCACTTGCTGAAGACTTCTGAATACCCAAGGAAGCAGTTACAGCACTGAGGACAAATGTACTTCACATGCTCAGGAACTCTTTCAAACACTACATACCACACCAACTTTCTGTTCCCACTTACTTGTCATTTTTGGAGATGCAGATGCCAGGAGCTGGAAGGATCTCTCCAAGCCCACATGGTAAATTAGGAGAATATGAGGACAAGAGAGGAATTTTCAGCTGATCAGACTGCAAGGATGTTGAGGGTTAGGTGTCCTTTTTGTTGTTCTGGCCTGCCCGTGGAATTTTTACCCATTAGCTGCGGAGACAACCTAACTGTGGATATTTAGTGGGTGCTCGACAAAGGACAAAGAGTGGCCGGGCACAGGGGGGTGAAGGGGCAGGAAAGGAGGGTGGGGACAGTTTTGGGCTGGCTTTCTTCGGCTTCGGGGAAAGACATTAGTTTGCTGGGTCGCGGAGCTGCTGAGGTGGAGAGAAGGGAATTTTGCCATCACCCAGACGGAGCTGCTGCTTCTTCTCCTTCTTCCCTCTTCGTTGGTGGCCTCGCACCC